ATCACACACTCCAAGGTAAAGAGAACCAAGGAATGTTTGAGCTCAAAATCAGTTGAATTCAGTTAATCCGCATGGCCGGAACACTGTGACTGATCCACACAAAGTGAGGCTGAAGAAGAAAGAGGTTCCTAATTCACTTTCTTCCTATGATTTCAGGGGGTGACAGTAACGGGGAGTATGACCTCCAAATCAGGCTTTGACTGTCCTACTTTGAAATCCCAGTTTTGTTTTATGTCGACTGCATGAATAATTTTAGGTCAGTTGAGGTGTTTTTTAGGGTGGAGATTATATATGATGTTTATGACAGGCATTCCCATGAGGTGTTACACAAAGTGTCTAATATGTGTTAGCTATTTACATAAAAATGTGTATTCCTTATATTAACTTGGTGTGGAAGTCCCATGTCCCTCCAGCGTGACTAAGGATGCTTACCGAGCATTTCTGTCATCAGACAGCGTTACAATCTCCTGCATGCATAGCCTCATACCTGCACAAGGAATTGTGATCTACATCTCAGCAGAGTCCAATTAGGTTCAGTTAAAGTAATTGGGAGAGCTGATATTTGTCAAGTATAGCAAAGAGATCATTAAAAATCACAGCAGTAGCACAGTCATACACTTAGAAGAGTCCCAGTGAGATTTGGCAAAAATGATCTCTCTCTAACACCTACTTCTTTCATTTAAGTGGGCTTCTTAATGCTTCATTCAGGCCCAGGGGTCCCTACATTCCATGAACATTTTCAGCTTCTCTGGAATTTGTTATTAGTGATTTCTCACAGACTTTACAGCAACAAAATATGAGAGGTTTGAAAAACTCGAAGATTTACTCTCAGATGTTAGAACTGAGAGTAATATGTGAACATTCCCAGAGATATTTGCATAAAAGAGAACTGATAGTTTGGAAAATAAGTTATCCATCAAATTGCAGAATTTTTAAGAAAAGTAATATGTTTAGTCTGAGGTAAATGGCTTTTCTAGTTCTTCTCAAATAGGCCTATCTTGAAATATTATGCCTACTCTGCTGATAGACAAAACACTTGGGGAGAACCCTTTGTTAAGATGTAAAGGAAATTGATCTCCTGGATGTTTAAATCCATTTATTGCTTTATGATTCAATCACCTGAATGAAACTTGAGCGGCCACGCATGTACCTTTATCTTTTTTAATCTAAGATTTATTTATTTTTATTTGAAAGTCAAATTAACAGAGAGATGGAAAAAGAGAGAGAGATTTCATCCACTGATTCATTCCCCAAGTGGTCACAATGGCTAGAACTGATGTGATCAGAAGTCAGCAGCTTCTACTGGGTCTCCCACATGAGTGTAGGTTCCCAAGGACTTGCGCCATCCTCTGCTGCTTTCCCACTGACATAAACAAAGAATTGGATAGGAAGAGAAGCAGCTGGGACTAGAACTGACACTCATATCTGACACTAGCATTTCAGATGAAGGATTAGTCTGTTGAGCCACCCTAATAGCCCCTAGACTTGTATCTTGAAAACAAGAGAGGAGGCCTTTTTTGTAACCCCTCAGGAACCTGGCTTAATTGTCTGTATTTCAGTATGGCATGGAATAACACAAGCAGTATCTTAACACTGTGCCACAATATGCAACTTATATCTGAATGTAATTCATTAGGGAAAAATCATCTTTCTACTGTGGCATCTGTACCTAACAAAAGGGTCATGAATCCACAGGATACCTTTATGTTTGTAATATGAGAGTTCTTGTGACAGCATCTTAATATATCCTTTCATTCATCTCTGGATGGTGGCTTTTATCCTTGCCTCATTCTGCTTGTAAACTTTTATTAAAGATAAGGTTTAAGAATATGTTTATTTTTCTTTGAAAGCATTAGAATCTTCTGAATCTAAAAAAGGGGAAATGTCTCCCATTTATATTGATAAACTAAAAGAATCTAAAATGAATCAGGTTTTTTTTTTAGTACATAAAGACATATCAAATCCCCAACGAAGCAGTGCTTATCTCACTTCAATATTTGTGCACAATATCACTTGTGATTACTAGTTATTTTAAAAATGGAATATTCCTTTTACCCAGTTGACTTGAAAGCACACGTTTTCATGATTTTACATTCATTTTGACATGAAAATGAAATATAATTTCTTTTGAGCACACTTCAAAGAACACTTGCATTGTAGTCAGTGTAACTGTGTTCAATTATACTTGCACATATTTGCAACCCGTATCACCTGAATCAATGACTCAGCTGTGCCTCACTCAGGCAAAGGCAACAGTTGCTCAGGCCTTAACACTGGGGAAGCATTCACAGCATGACTGGAAGAGCAGGTAGCATTTCCCATACAAGTTTTTGTGAGCATTATAATTCTTCCGACCTGTTACTTGTGTCATTCCATTGTTATTGCCAAAATGTTGGGACTCAAGGGGCATTTTGATGTTTTAAGGAATTAACAAGGAGCAATATTTAAAACTGAAGCTATCCTGAAAAGCTTGTGAGTCTGACTTAAGGCCAACAACACAAATAAAATAATATGTTAGATTTTGTGTTTGTATCTTCAAAATAGCGGACAAGGTAGTACTGCGCTAGCTACTAGTTGTTACTAGTTTTAAGGAAAAGAAGCAGCTTGACACTTTGAAAAACACTTAACGTCTGCTATCAGGGCCTATGTTCAAATCAGTAATTGCCAAAAGTGTGTGTTACTTTATGCAGAAGAAGATACTTCCTACAAATTAAGCATGAATTTCCTAATCTTCCTGTTATTCATGCAACATAAAATTCTTATGTATATAGAAGGTCATATCCACACTGATCGCGATCACTTGCATCATGGTCTTGAATACTGGAACATGTCACTGCACAGATCTACAGGATCTGTGTCTTTATGCAGCAGCAATAACACCAGACACGCATGATTCCTAGTCATTGTTGCAGAATGTACAATCCAGAAACCAAGAAACTAGAGCTCAAAGTAAAAACAGCAGTCTCCAAATCTTTGAATTGAGTTACACAGTTTGCTAAAAGTAGTAGTTTCAAGTGATGTGATTGGAAGTAGAGAAACTTATCAAGTTCCTTCTTAGGAGGGGAGAAGGCCATATTTCCTGGACATGTAGGACAACATTGCAAAGGCCAAGCATGTCTGCGGTAGGGAGCTGGGAGTCCTGCACAGTCCTACTTAGCTTCTAAAGACCAGCTTCTGTTCCAGTCCAGGCTGAACCAATATATCCTGCCTATTCATGAAATTATTCCTACCTGTGTCATAGCATGACTTACCCCTTAGTTTGTTTTTACATGTATTTGTCTTTATGAGTTGCCAAGTTCCCAAAGAAAAAAAACTGTGTCTCACTCCTTTCTTTTTTTCATATTATCTAGGACACTGTTTAGTGTTAAGCAAATGTCTGCTGATTAAAAAAATAAAAGTTTGATAAGTTGCTGTATGAAAGGATATAGTGAGTAGGTGGCTGATCTATGAGGCACTTCAAAGAGCTCATAGAAAAATTGAATTTAAAGATAAATTTATTGCAGTGCAGAAATGTTGAAATCCAGGAAGCTTTTTTTCATATTATACAGTTTCATGAACTTTTTGAAGGACCTTGTACGCTATACATAATTAGCAGTAGAAAAAACAAATAGAAGTGACTATGTGATCTAGTCTTTGAGTTTTTATTAATGAAACTAAAAATTATTTTCTTGTGATTGCGTATTTTTGCCTAAGGTTTTTTCTTCCATAATTTAACAGTGTTCTATTAGATAGTCTTAAAGCACTTAGTGATCATTATCAATGCATACATTCATTAACTCATTCAAGTATAATTCAGTATCTTTTATGTGCAAAGTATATGACTTCACCTAAATTTTTTTTGGTGAGTTTCTATTTTCACTTAGTCACTATGCTTAGTCTATACATAAATGTATGGCATTTCTTTGCAGTCTGTCACAAGCTTATAAGATTAGGAGATGTTCAGGTGCAGCCTAAATACACAGCATTAAAGGAATTCAAGACAGAAAATGGATACTAGAAATTCAAAATAGCTTTCCATGCTGTCTGACATCTTAATTCCACCACAGACATGGAAAAACTCATGTCATCCTTACTCCATATGAAAGAGGGATTTGAAAGAATATCTTATTACTGCATATTCTGGAACATACTTACAGAATTTTTATGATAGCATTTCAGCATTCTAAATGAAGTTTATTTTTTTACATTTAGAAGATGAGAAAATGCATTGTAGCTATTCTACTTGAACTCAAAACCTTAACACAGAATGAAAGCAAGAAATTAAACTTATAATAGAATGAACTAAAATAAAATAATCTGTTACAATCTGCCAATATTTTCACAAAAGTGGAACTTCTTTTTTAAACAAATCCCAGTCTCAAAGATAAGTATAAGCATAAGGCAAAGCAGAGGAAGACTGAGCTTTGTTTTCCAGCAGTGATTGAAATTTGGGATTATTTTTAGATTTAGCAGATATGGATTTTTCTTTAATTTTCTTTGTGTTTTTTTTCTTGAAATTTCTGAATAGAAACATTTTCACATACAATTACTATAAAAGATTATTGAGATTAATTGGGATAGTCTGTATATACCTTAATTTTCACTGTGAGTTTGTTGTTACCCAAGGAAATAAACTTTGTACTGCAGGCTTTGGAGAATAAGAGATTTAATGGAAGAAAGGAGCCATTTGCTGAGGAGGAAGAAAACCCTTGTATCCTAGCTTTTTTTACCTGCTTGCCTCCAGACCACATTTCTACACATTCTTGATTTCTAAATAGTTTGCAACTATTTTACTACCAGACATTTTTTAATGCTTTCTAACTGACTACATACGTATATGCGAATGCACAGATGTACGTATAGCCATACAGTGGTTATAATGGAAAATAATGTTTTCTCCAGTTTTTTTAACCTGCAGAAGTGATGATCATTTTTTTTCTCCACATTCTCTTTTTTTCTTCCTCTCTCTGGGGGAAGGGAGGAGATAAAGCAGAAGCCATAATCAGCCTCCCAAACGCTTAAAAATTATGGAATGTTTCATGAATTTGCATGTCATTCTTGTGCAGGGGTCGTGTTAATGTTCTCTGTATCATTCCACTTTTAGTATATGTGCTGCCAAAGTGGCAATTCTCCATTTTTTATAAATCAATTTTATGATTTTTCTTTGCCTTTGTGAGCCTATCTTTGCTGTATTCTCACATACTATCATTCAGTTCTGTTCTTTTTCTTTCAAATCATTGAGCCAGTTGTTATCTCAATATTTTGCTGTAATTATAACATATATTTAAGCTATTCTTCATCTAGGTCAGGGATTGCCAGCTAAGGGTGGGACTACTGACAATGTTTGAAGACATCTTTCGACATCACCATAGATGTGACGCTTCTAGCCTGTAGAGGGTTCAGGTTATGAATGCTGCTAGATATTATACAATCAATGGCATAACTCTTGTCCTCTCAATAAAAGTTATTGAAAAGGCCAAAACTATAGCATAGAAAGCTAATCCTCTGCCTGAGGCACCAACATTCACTGAGTGTGCTGGTTCATGGTCAACATGCTCCACTTCTGATTGAATTCTTTAATTATGGCCTGGGAAGGCAGTGGAGGGTGGCCCAAGATCTTGAGCTCATGTGCCTATGTGGGAGACTTGGAAGAAACTCCTTGCTCCTGACTTCAAATTGGCTTAGCTCCAGGAATTGTAGCCATTTGAGGAGGGAACCAGTGGATGGAATACCTCTATTTCTTGTATATCTTCTCTCTATAAAAGCCTGCCTTTCAAATAAAAATAAATAAATAAATCCTTAAAAAAGTTATTGGCTTTAAAATATCCTCGTGGCTCAAGAATGAATACCTAATCTTTAGATTATTTTTATGATTGAGTGTTTCTAATCATTACTGCTTAGATTTTTATCTAGATATCACTTATTTAGAGAGATACTCTCCAACTATCAAATATAAACAGTATCACTTTTCTTGTCACGCAAATACTTTATCTTAATATGGTTTTATGACTTATTTTAAGTTCAATATAATTGTCCTAACATCTAATTGATGAAAGTATCTTTGAACCAATAGTGGAACATAGTTGAGATCCGTGAGCAAAATTAAAAATTTGGAGGCTGGTGTAATGGTGTAACTAGCTGGTTAATCCTCCACCTGCCATTGACAACATTCCATTCGGGCATCGGTTTTTGTCCTGGATCTTTCCATCCAGATCACTGCTAACAGCCTGGAAAAGTAGTGGAGGATGGCCTAATGCCTTGAACTCCGATGTGGGAGACCTAGAAGTAGCTCCTGGCTCACAACTTCAGATTAGTTTAGCACCTGCTGTTGTGACCATTTGGGAAAGCAACCAGCAGATTGAATCGCTCTCTCTGTTTCTGCTTCTCTCTCTGTATCTATTACCTATTTGCCTGTAACTTTGACTTTCAAATAAACAAAATAAATCTTAATACGAAAAAGACAAAAAGATAAATAACAAATGAACATACATGCTATATTTGAAGGCAAAAGACAGTGACAAGCTATAGCAGCTTGCAAGACAGGCACTACATTTTTTTTCTTATCACACAACTTTTCACTCAGAGGTAATTCCCAATTTCAAGTGCCATGGTATGACTAAAGCACCAGAAAAAATACATAATTACAATGATTTGAAGAGTTAAAGGATGACCTTTATGGTTGCCAGAGTACTGAAAATAAAAATCCTAGAAAAGTAGATAATTATAGAAGGTATACCCACCTACATACTAAATATTGTTTACATTTGGCTGATCCTTGAAATGTATATACAGAGGAGATAATATAAATAGATTAGTGTGTATGTGTGTTGGGGGGGTGGGTGGGAATCTCAATGCCAAAACTTCAAAAAGAATGAAATAGAGGGAAGACTGGAATACTTTAGAAAGGCAAAGATTAGAACTTAAGCCCAATGAAGATAGTTTCCTCCAATAATAAAATCAGCCCATTTCCCAGGTAGGGAAGTAGTTTTTATACTGTATTATTTCGAATAACTGATATTAAATAAAAGTTATTAAATATATGATGAGAGAAGAAAATGTCATCCATGATCAAGGAAAATAGCAGCCAGCAGAAAAGGATGACGAGGTAAGCCAGATGTTGAAATTAGTAGACAAGACCTTCAAGTTTTCTTTGTAAGATAGCAATGTGGTAAATAACAATCATGTACAGGAAACTGGTGTTTTAATGAATGTAACAATAAGGAATTTCAGAATAAAAACAAACCAACTGGAAATGCTAAAACTTAAATATGCAGTATTTAGAAAATTCATCGAGTGGGCTTAAAAAGCAAATTTAAGGCATGAGAGAATGATTTGGTGAACTTTGAAAAAGATCAATTGGAATTATCCAATTTGGAAAAAGAAAACATGTGACCCATGGTTATGTATTTTAATTTCTTCATTCTTAGTCTTCACACTATTTTTGTTATATATTTTGTTTCTAGTGTTAGAATCCTGCTGTTATATTGTTATTTTTCTTAAGTTAACTTTTGAAAATTTAATTAACTTTCAAAGAATTTTAAAGGGAAGAGACAGTCAACAGTTAACGATAAGAGAAAGTTCATTTACACTTGAATTTTTCCCATTTTAACCTAATATCATTTTTTGTCTTTGTTTGGTAAAAGACTTAATTTATTTGAGGGACAGATAAGGAGAGAGACAAATGTGGTACACTTTAGGTGCGCTTTATTTCATTAATCCAGTTTATAACTACAATATTTTCCTTGGAATGGAGTACCTTTTTTCAAACGATTTATTTGATTGAAAGGTAGTCTCTCTCTCTGACATACACATGCACACACAACTGAGCGGCAAAAGGGACAGAAAGGTATCGATCTGCTTCCTGGTTCATTGCCCAAATGACCTAACAGATGAGACTGGGCCAGGTTTGGGGTGACAGGGTCTAGGTACTGGGGCCACCTTTTGCTACTTTCCCAGATGTATTTTCAGGAAGTTGCATTGGTAATGTAGCAGCTGGAACCTGAACCAGTCTGTCCATATAGGATACTGGTCTTGCCACAAATATAGTTCCAGATGTGTTTTGGTTTTTCCTATTTTTACCTAATATCACTTTGGGGGTGTATGTGTGCCAAGATTCAAGATTCCCAGTACAGGTTAGATCTTAGCTGTGATGCTTTCTGAGCTTCAGTGCTGTTATGATACCATATTTTAAGTGTAATGGTCAAGAATTTTGTAGAATTCCTGATAGCTAGAATTGTTCTATTTTTCCCACTGTCAGATTTTCCTTCATCTTATAAAAAGATCTATTTATTCAAAAGACCATGAAACACACACACACACACACACACACACACACACACACACACACACAGAGATTAGTGTGGGGATGAAGGAAGGGAGAGAGTTCTTTTTGCATCCATTACTTCCACTTCCCAAATGCAGTATCATCAAGGACTAGAATAGATCAAAGCTAGAAGCCAAGAGCTATAGCCAGGTTTTTCATATGGGTGACAGGGACTGAGTTGCTTGAGCCATCATCTGCTGCCTGGCAGGTGCATTAGAAGGAAGCTAGGCTCCAACCATGGGGAGAATTGCAAGAGATGTGGTATGACCATGGAATGCCTGTGTCAGAACTGAGCCTCCTTAGTGGGATTAGACAGAACAGTGGGCGACATACCCAGAAGCACACGGAGGGTTTGGCAGTCCACTGGGGCTGAGGACATATGTTACTGTAGCAGAGGATGGAGGACAGAACAAATTGGCCAAATAGCCCCAGCCAAGCATTGGTAGCAAATACAGAGATGGACTATGTCAGCCAGTGGACCTTGGGAGGATTTCCTTATCTTTAGATCAGTGAGACTGACAGCATTTCAGAACTATCAGAACCACTTGAGCAGAACTCCTGCAGCATGCTGTACATAGGGGACCTTGGAATGACATCGGGTGACTCTTTCCCATCCGCAAGTACTGAGGTGGTTGGGAGGCTGTGTATGGCTCCCCTCCATCTCCCCACTATCTCTCCTCTTCTACCAGACACAGGAAGAAGAAAAAGAAAATTTGGAAACAAAGGTTTTACCCACTTTTTCCTAATCCTCAACCCTCTCTACCATAATCAACTATGTAAATATCATCAAATATATATATATATATATTTATATATTTATTTATATATTTTAAGAAGGAAGCTGCTGTGGAGTTGGAACTCAATCTCAGACACTGACACAGGATGCAGTGACCACAATGCCAATCCCAACCGTGTGTTTGAAGAACTAGGAAAGTGTTATTATGCTTTTATTCACTTTGGTTTTTAAATCAAGAATCTGGCATCATTATTCTCTTTATTGCACCATAAATATTCTGCCATTTCTTCATGGTTTACTCAAGATTTTCTCTTTATCATTAGGTTTAACAAATTTTGAAATATATACCTTGTTGTGGTTGTCTTGTTTTTGTTTTTGTTTTTCTTGGGTTAGTTGGGTTGGTTAATTTACACATCTGAAGGATTTTTGGCAATTATATCTACAAATATTTTTATCTCTCTTCATTTTGGTTGATATTAAAGTTACTCTTTGACTACCAGACTCTTTCCCAGATCTTATTGAAAGAACATTCTGTTCTTTTATCTTTGGGGTTCTTTTTTTCTCTGTTTAACTTTCGGCCATTTCTGTTGCTGTGTCATAAGGTTTTAGAAGATCACAGAGTGCTTTCCCTCTGGAGTATAAACGTGGGCTAAGAATGCAAATCCTATCCCAAGTGACCGCTTCATTCCTACACCCTTGTGTGTTCTGTATTAGCTGCCATATATCAGAGAACACAATATATTTATCTTTTTGAGATTGGCATATTGCTAAGGATGATAGTTTGCAGTTGTATCCATTTTGTTCTCATCCAGTGTATTTTTATAGCTGTTATTGTAGTTTATATGTAAGGAAGTTAGATGTTAGTCTTTTAATATATTTTCAGTCTCTGTAAAACATGTCCTGTATTCTTCTAGTCTTTTGAATAGACTACAATTGTAAGAAGGACTTTACCATTTCTGTATGCTAATTTTGGTATTGATGTCAATTTTTGTCTGTTGACCAGATTTTCTTCTCTTGACAGATTATATATTTATGTTTATTTACTTCTTGTGCCATTTTCTTGTGAAA